GCGATTGGTCAAAAGTGTGGGTTGCAGGATTGCACTGCAGCAAAAGTTGAGAGAGATTCTGTTCAATCACCGTACCAAACCGTGATACCAGAACCTTTTGCATTGCGGCCAGATTTGCTCAAAGCAATGGTCTAAATGACAGGGCTGCAGGTTTTCATGCAGCGTTAATGTCAGTCAGAACACACCCCGCGGAGCTCGGAATGCTTGTCGAATCATTAACCCACAATCAAACCCACTTTAGGTAGCAACTGGCCAGGTGTGCAGAGGAGTGAAAGCTGGCAGAGTTTGAACTGATCTCCCGAGCTTCCTTTTTTTTTTCCCCCATTCTTCACACAGCTACTCTGCTCATTTCTCATGAGAACAACTGAGTGCCACGCCATTCGTACCTTCGAGGAGAGTCTGAAAGTGAGTCCCATTGTTCCCATCTGTACGATTCACTCTGTCTAGACAACAAGAAAGCTCTTGAAGAGTGATCTGGGGGGTCTGTGTGATGCAGTCACTGTGCTGGCAGGCTTTTCACCTCACCTTCGAGTGTGCCCTTCAGAACAAGTACAAACCTGTTTGCCACCAGTCAGACCCCATGTGATACAAACTAGATTCAAGCACACTGAACCCTTTCATCTCAGCCCTAAAGGACGGTGTGATCAGGGTTGCCCTTCGACCTATGGAAGATGCAACATCCATTATGCACGAACTAGACACACCAAGAAGGCCTAAAGAACCTATCTTTTCAAACACAGTAGGGATTATGCTGTTGCGCAGTTGTCAAAAGCATCCCAGTGTAGAGGAAAAGTCTTAGATATGTGCCACCAACTACCTTTAATCCCCAACCTTGCTTTCTCATTGCTTTCTAATTCCTCTGATCTCTCCTGTACTGACACTAACCCCTCTTCATTTTCTCTAATTCTTACACTGCCAGGCAAGCATCAATATCCACTCGTTAGCATGCCGGATAGCACAAGGACTGTGCTATGCAGATGAATGCATGGGTCTGAATCATTCTGCGTGGTTATGTTTCTCAGCGGGGCTCCACTTTCCCATTATCGCAAGCATTAAGATGCACAAGAGGCAGTCGGATGCCTCCAGTGATCACCGTCAATTATATAGTGCCCTTCTGGGGAGCTGGCCTGAGCCTGTCGGCGAATCATCAACAGGACGATGAACTGACAAAGGCCAGACGTGCCGCTATAGTTGGAAGCTTTCGAGTTACAGCTTCAATCCGGAGCTCCAGTCGGGCTGTCCCTCACGTGTCAGGTTAGCAATTATGAAATGGAATGTAGAAGAAGAACAGAAGAAGAAAATGTGTTTCCAGTGGGTTCTGGGGACAGCGCAAATCTGCTGTGCAATGTGAAATAGTTTATGATTGGGTAGACAGATTTTACCCTAATCCCCAGTTTAACCTAATTATCTAAAGCCCTTATGTAAAAGTTAAATGGAACAATACAGTTTATTGCTGACATAATCTGGTAATGAATCACTTAGTCGATCAACAAAAATCTATATAGTCAGCAACTATGTTGATTAGTTTAAGGCATTGCTCAAGTTGAAATCTAGAAAATCAGAAATCTATTTATTGCAGTGCTGTTCTGTTAGACTTACACAAACTGGCTGCAAACACTCTGCCCCCTTTAGTTTTCTAGCCAGACCCTTGGAACAGACAAAAGACCTCTGCCTGCAGAGCTCAATGTGCATGTACTAAGAGGTCAAAGATATACGTAGGACAGAGGCCGCACAGGGCCTTCAAAGTAATCACTAAAATCTTTTAAAAACGAACCAGTGTAAAGAGGATAAAACAGGACTGATGTAATCGTGCCTCCAGGTTAAAAGCCTGGCAGCTGGGTTAAGTGTAGTCTGGAGTCAATCGATAGATTTTTGGTTAAGGCGGGTAAAAAGGCTGTTGCAGTAATCCAGGCATGATGAGATAAAAGCGTGTAAATTGATAGCAACAGTGCGGAGAAGACAGGAAATAAGGGGGTGAGGCTTGAATGAGAAACCCTGTGACCCTGTAAGCCTTTGATAAAACTATATATAACTTAATGTTACATGATCAACTATATCAGAGTGTATTTTAGGCACCTATTTTGTCAGAGTCTCTCTTTTGGCCTTGGTACTTTTAGAATAAAAGCCAGAAATCCTTGAAAGAGTTGTATTCCATGTATTGTTGTCGAACAGAGGGCCTGGATAAGAACAATGGCAGCGTTGAGGCTGTCATGCCTCAAGCTTTGGCTTCAATCTCTCTTTTCCTCTCACTCCCTCCAAACCCACCCAAACTTTTCCTCTCTTGCCAAAGGAACCATCAGGCCAAGCGGGGGACATCTGTACAGCAAGGCACTGAGCCACATTTCCATGCTAAGCTGGACATATGCAGCCAACTCCATGTCAACAATAACATATATCACTGACATAACCAGGTGTCAGTCCTTCATTCCTGGACATGAGCGTTCCAACACAGTTTCTCATCTGCACATCTGCTTTAAATGTTTTGGCTGTTTCAATAACTGTATGAAAAACAAGTCTGCCCTGTTCAGAGAGCTTTCTGACTAGACTCTTAATGTGAGCTAACATGTGAAAGGAAACTGCAGTCTTGTCACACAAGCCAAATAGCCAAATAGCATCTGTTTGGCAAGCGGGGGTGTCACAAAAACTGATGCTTTGGTAGCAAGTCGATGCCGAAATTGTGAAAGCATCGCAGCACTTGTTTTCTATTGTAATTTAGATGTCAGAGGTACTGGAGATAAGAGGACAACATGTGAAATGGTGGCAGCAAGTGCAGGTGCAGGAGGAAAAAAAAAACTCCTCACACCAAATGTTGCATTTTTTCAGAAGATGATCAGGGACGATTGAAAAAAAAAAAACAAAACGCATGCAAGTGTGCTACCTGTGTCGCACAGCCCATGGAACAAAAGTAGGAAACATTTCAAACATATCTAAGCAGCTCAAAGAAAGGCATTCTGATCTGTACACAGATTTCAATTAGTTCAGCTTTATAATAACATCATGTTGTCACAATTGGCCATTTTCCAATGCAGGAACTTGTGAACCTTTGAGTGTGTTCCAACTACAGGAACCACCCCTGTGGAACCTCTGCTGTGTGGGTCCTGATGCTGATTGATTTAACTCGGAGAGGAGAACAACAACATGCAGCATTATTTCTGCCCCCTTGACGGCCTCATTGAATAGCTGTCTTCTCTAAATTATTGCAATTAACAATGTAAGATTCATCATGTGGACTAACATATCAAACCCTCCTTTGTTCTATTTTCTACATGCTCATAGGACTGAAATTGTGTCCAGTCATGAGTATTTGTCATTGTTTTGGTCCACTCTGAGTTGATATCGCGAGTAAAACTGTCGGGTTCCACGCAGTAGTGGAAAAAGAAAGATTAAAAGGGTGGAATACGGGGTAGTTCCGGTAAACATTAACACCACCTCGTCCTTGCGGTGACTTCCTGGAGTGGAAAGCCGGCTAACATTCGCTTTCTAAAATGTTACTGTGACATAATGTGAACTACAACAGCAGCATCTTTCGGTAGCCGCGTTCCACACACAAATTTCTATGATGGCTGAAGTTACAAAATCAACACATACATGGCAGTATATTGTGTACGCAACATTTTTGTTATTTAAGAGTTTATGTTAAAATGCATTTGGATGATTTATTATTATGGTATCAAACATGCTAGCCTTAACCTATACACCGAAAGCATTTAATACCTAATCTATCTAATCTACTGCGATCTTTCAAGATAATCCGAAAAGATTAGACTGAAATAATAACACATGCAACCCAGTATGTCATTACTGTTAAAAATGCTCTAACTGGAACTAATCCAAACTTTGTGTTAGGTTAAGCCTGACCCTGAAAAGTGATTTTTGAGGACATTGTTCAATGAAGTCCTCGAGATATCCACATCACTTCTATCTTGGACAGTTGTTTGTATCATGCAACTGCAGGTTCATTTTTAGCTGCTGCCACTGTTATGGCTTTCAGGTTTCCTCCTGCTCTCACTGGCAATCTCACACATCCTGACAACTGTTCGCTGGCAGGTTTGAGTTGTTGTGTACTCGGCATCAGGATCCATGCAATGTCAAGGCACTGTCAGATTACTCTATGATTCCATGGTAAAGCTGCTACACTAAGCTATTCATTTCCTGCGCTCTACCCGAAGTTACCTTTAAGGACAGCTTTACAAACTAAGCCTTCTATTGTGCATGTCCTGTTGTTAATCATTTTTGGAATATGCTGTGCTAAGTTAAAACTCTCTGTTCTTTTGACTGCTATTGAATTCTGGTGAAGAACTTCTACCCTCCTCATCATTTTTCTAAAGGGCACATAGTCTTTAATGTGCTCATCCCTCCACCTGCATATGTGTGTGCACTCGTAACTGCATGCCGACCAGTGTGGAGGTTGCGGAGGATGAGGCAGCGTGTGGGCTGAAAATGAAGGCAGTAAAACGCCATATCAATAATCACACTACCGAGTCAAGCATCCCCCCAGGATAAAAGCACGGAAGCGCCAGAAAAGACGTCCTTCAATCGTCCATAAACCCAGACGGTGACAAAGGTGGGTTAAAAAATAAATAAAAGAAAGCATGTTGCAGCTGAGGTCGTCTGCAGTGATTAAATATTTAAGCTGCTAAGGTGATATAAATTCAAAGGGGTGGTGCTCAATTCAATTCAATTAAAAAAAAAACTTTAATTGTCCCCTCGGGGCAATTCAAGGCAGGTAGAGCAGTTGTCACTAGACATGTTAAGACACAGTATGGAGGAGGCCTGTTGATTTTGTACCCCATAGCCTGGATTTTACATGTTGGGTCACAGAAGAATGACTGCTAGATGTAATACGCGCTGCAGGTTCTTGGAGCAACAAGCTGATTTTAGACTTTTACTCCAGGCAGATATCGAAATTCACAAACATTTAAACTATCTTTCTTTTCTCTCGGCATGAGGGTCAGTGTCAGTAAAGCAAAAGGTCACCGAAAGCTGATGAGATATCTGACCTGTGTCGCAGTCTCAGCATCCCTCTTGGTTCGGCCTTGAGAAAGCCACTGCGCCGTCACTGTCCTTCCCCTGCGCAGCTCTGGAGAACACAAAGCAGGAGGGAGATTAATATGATGCGGGACCACTTACATAGACTGGGGGCAATTTGCCGCAGAGTGTAGTGTCTCTTCGTCACAGGAAAAAAAAAAAAAAAGGCAAATGAACAGTGCACCATGACCTGTACTCTCATGAAAGCTATTCATTTTTAGTTTAAGAAGGCTGACAAACAAGGTATTACATGGCAGCTTTGTTGATATCACATAAACTCCAGGGACACTGACGGTTTATCAGCGGCGGTGTGAGGTGCTGTGTAACATCAGATGAAATTACTTCCACTGTTTTTACAACATTTGGCTTATTAAGTTTCAGGGTGAACGAATAGCGGCAAAACATCTCGCGGCAAAGGCCACGTATTTGATGATCGAGGCAGCTGTTTAGATATAATCTAGTAATTACACTGATAACATGATGAGATGCAGCAGAAGCGGCGTGATTCAGCTCTGCAGGAGACTGACTGATCAATCATGTTGTATGTTCACTTTGTAATTAATCACAACAGTACATTGCTGGCTGACAGATCAGTCTGTCAAAAATCAGACGCTGATATCGTCACATCAGACTCAAGACAGTCTGAAAACCACTTATCATACAATCTTTGCTAACCGATCTCCTGGAGGCAAATCCTGAACTCCTGTGGTCATTAAATAACGTCTAGATTCTTGATAAACACAGAAATATGCATTCTTTTCGACGGATTGATAAGATTGTGCATAAATATGGTTGTATTTTACTAAACTTGATTATGCCGCCGCTCTTCAAACCCAGGCTGGGAGTTGGCTGTCACACAGCAGAAAGCAGCAGAGAGCAGAGCTAATTAGCTTCCAACAACATGTATTTAATTCATTTTTAACAATTGACTATTGATTGTTAAAGTGGCCAACACTGACGCGCACCGCTTGGCGACAAATCTCAGCCCATTTCTCGTTTCATAACTTCTTTGTTTCGTAATGAATGTGTCACTGCGTGGAAAATCGCAGTGACTGACATGAAAGAAAAACCTTCTTCGCAAAAGGTGTGTGATCAGGTGGTGGAGCTAAAGTTTCACTGCACGCTGACTGACTCAGATGGACTAATGCAAAGCAGAAATGAGACAGAAGCCGGTGAAGTGAGTGTGCTGTTCGGGGGTGAGCTCAAGTAGCTGGTCATTGCGAATCACTGATCTAAACACCAAATCCACCCACAATAGCTACAGTACACAAACATACATACATAACTTAAGTGTCAAATTATACCGAAAAAACTTTAGAGTAAGTACTTCTACGTTGAACAGTATTTGCTCTTATGTAAAACCATACAGTTTAGATTTACTATTTTAAAATCATTCCCCACAGTTGGAAGATAATCTGACAATAGTCTGTACATTAGTGAGATTCAAATCCTTTTTCTTTGTTTTTCCCCATACCTGGTCCGTCTAACTTTATTTTGGTTGAATCAATCGTCCTCAGCATGACGGATAACAGTGTTACACAATTTCCGGAGGGATGTTCAGCCAATCTTCTTTTTTTTCAGCTGCTCTTTGCTGGAGGGGTTGTGTTGCTTTCTCTTGCTCTTTAAAACACCCCAGAGATGTTTTATTAGATTTAAGACAGACTACATACTTGGCCAGATCATAGTTTTCACTTTTTTGCTCTTTCGTAACTCTTGTGTGATTTCGACAGTGTGTTTCTTCTTTTACAGCTAAGCTTTGGCAGACTGGGAGTCATCTTGTCATCCAGCGTTTTAGTACATCCAAACGCATTCATGTTGCCACCTATAAATGTCATCTCCCCTCAGTTTTTTGCACTCATGAAGGTCCCATATCATTACACTCCCACTTCCATGCTTCACTGTGAGGACTATGAATTCACTGTGGTAGTCCTGGCTCAATTCATGCCAAACATGCGGGACTCCATTTAAACCAAACAAACTTAACTCGTCTCATTGCATCTGACAAAGACCACCATTCATTAGGCTTCTTCTCTTTCTTTTTAGCTTCTTTTTAGTGCCGAATTCAAATGCTGTCCTTACGATGCCATGCAATGTCTTTCACACTGCCTGAGCTGTGTCAGAAACTTCCATTTCCACTGATAACCCCTGTGCCAATTCTGAAGCACTTGCTCATCCAATTTTCAGAGCTAGATTGTGTAAGTAGTGCAGCGTCCATGCCGTTATTTCCGGAGGACAGCCACAGTGTCTCTGATTAGTGGTACTATGACTCATTTTATACCTCCTGATTGCTACGGCAAGTGCTTTTTTTATGGCTCTTTTACTTTGATTTTTAGTTGGTTGTGAATCTTCCTTTATCCTTTTCCATCTTTTCAAAAGAACACCGTCGTATTTTTCAGTAATTCTGGCAATTCGTTGAGAACGGTTACCTGCATGGAGCAGATAGGTCGACAGCCACAGCTTGTAGTTCCAAACTAGAGAAAGGTCTGGTCATTTTTAAGTGTGCCAGTGTCATTTTTGTTTGATTTTACTTTGGGAAATGTATTTTCAATATCGTCTTATGAATATATCTGTAAAAATTCTACTTTGAAATTTAAGGGATACAAGGTGTACTCCCTTTATATGTAATGTACTGTATATCTTTTACTGCAGCAGTACAAATGCTAATATTTATTAGTTATTCTGAGAAATCTGGGGGAAGCTCAGGTCTCTTTTGGGGGAGCTACTTCTCCTCTGGTTCCCCCCTGAACAACACTTATCTGGCTTCTGCTGATAGAGTCAGCTCCATCTTCATAACAACTAATTAAAAGCTGAAAATAAATAATGGCACAATCATTTGAAAGCTATTATTTTTCTCGGGTTCTTTTTCAGCATTTATCTTGCTGGGCTGATTTGAGTCGATGCACCAGTGCGGTTCTGTGGAATAATGGCTCCCATTTTCACTGAGCAAGAATCTCTACAGGATGACTAGATTTACTCGGATGAATCATGAGCTCACTTCAAATTGACAAAAACACTTCTCCGGACGTCGAATTTGAAAGGGGGTGATTCATACACGTCGGCCCTGGCTGGATACGCATTTTATCACAGATAGCACTAGAACATCACTGTTGTATTTTAGCAGGAAAAGGCTGAACAGAACAGACAGTGGGGGTTTTAAGAAGTTTCATTTCAACTCTGGGGAACAATTAGCTGATATCATCTCGAAGACAGAACAAGGTGCAATATAAAGCTGGAGTTTAATGGAATTATTAAGACCTCAGTCTGCAGTTTATCAAGCACTACATCAAGCACACACGCAGAAACACACAGTTGGCCACCCATGAAAGAAGACAACGAGACAAGGTGTAGCAATGACCTCCCGTTCCATGTTTACCAGACGAATAACAGAGAAGGCTGTGAAACCAGGGGCCAACTAACTGTCTGAGTTTACTTTCCAAAAGCCAGTGAAGAGAATCAATAATCAGCCAGGGAATACAAAACATGGTTATTAACCTCGCACCACAAAGAGCACGTGAATTGTATGTCTTAATTATTCCTCAGTGGAACAATGCAGCCTGCCATCTTCCACTTTTTGGTTGCCACATAGGATCCAATCAGCCCGCTCCAAGCAGCTAATGAGCCACACACAGAAACTGAGACTTGATCTTCAATCTGCATGACATGGATGGTAAATCTGCTCTGTAGTCCAGGCTGTTGGGTACCTTGGAGATATTGTTAGCGGTTGGTGGAGCAAAGACAACACTTTACATGACATCACACTAACACACACAGTCAGGTGTTATTGCAGAACAGCCTACAAGGAATGTCAGATTGATTCGGTTCACTGGATTACACTGTCTTACATTTAGGCTTGTTGGAAGCATTGATTTCGACTCTAATCTGAGCAGCTGCTAACTGTTGATTTCCGAGGCTTTAATGAATTTCTTCTCCGCAGCAGAGGGAACTCTTGGTCTGCAATTGGGGCGGTCCTCGAAATGTTCTGGTTTGATTTATATTTGTTTTTTTGTTTTTTTTGTTTTGGATTTACAAAGTACCAAGGTTACTAGTTTTTTTTTTATTTAGCCTTGAGTTTTGATGAGTTCTTTAAAGCTGGAAGGCAGGAGTTTTACATCTAAATGAAAATTCACCCCTTGAGTTGATAAAATGCAAATAAGCCTATCATGTGTAATCATCTGTCAGTATTTCCATGTATTCTGGAGCTTTAAATCTGCTTTTTGTGGCAACATTCCCACCCTTGTGCACCAGTGACGATAAATTCTATAGGGTTAAGCAATATAGCTGAAAAATGTGTAACTATAAAATGTTTCATTGCAATTTGTATCAATAATGAATAATCATTTTAGTGACATGCTTTTAGCGAAGACCAGCAGAAAAAGGTTTAATTTGAATTTATTAAGGCAATAATTTCAAAAATAGGATAGAAGAAAAGTGTTGAAAAAATAAACGATTCAAATCTCATTAATGAAAAGTTTACTGACATCTGCTGCACTAAGTTCCTCCTATGGGGCGGGTATATTTAATTTAGTAATTTATTTTTAGCTAGTTTTTAATTTGACATAAGACAAAATGCCCTACTGTTAAAAAAAATCACTATAAACTCATACAATTTTGAATCAATAATCTCAGTGGTGTACTCACTTTTGTTGTGCTGTATATGTGATGTAAATGAAGCACTAAAGCTGACTGTACTGTGCACAGTGTATAGTGTTCTTTCGCAATACAAAATGATGTGTAATGTCAATTGACAGACATATAGGAAACAAAGAGCACTGGATAGGATATGTCTGAATTTGAAACCGTTAAGTGGCCTTGAAATTCTATGGTGCCAGATCTGAGAACACACAACCGAACTCCCTGCGGAGCAAGACTGCTCTCTTAGCCATTTACCCTTTTAGCTAGCATCTAACTGGGCTAAGAGCCCACAGAGTACATCCATCACACCGCTTTAACAATAGTGCCCAGCGAGGGAGCCTTGCAAGTCACCACAGGCCTCTGCCATGTTCTTGTCACATATGCTCCTAAAAGGATCTGAATTCCCACAGAGCCCTGAAA